TATATATATATATATATATATATATATATATATATATATATATATATATATAGTTTCTTTTAATTGCTGTTTGCCCATTGAAGACAGGATTCTTTAAGTAAAATCTTTGTAAATGACTATACAAACTCTTGCGTCTTTGCAGCTAGTTATGCGTACGGATAGAGGCAATAGTTTTCTCCTAATGCAAAACAAATCATTTAAGCACTCACCTTAAAAATTTTCAGTATTTCCAGTAGGCAACTTCACAGTGTTTACTGCATGCTTTCGTAAGCTTCCTTGAGTTTTCGAGGGCAAACCTCAAGAAGAGCAGTCAGTTCTGTCAAACGAATGTTTAGGGTGTACAGTAGTCTATTGTAAGTGCAACCCTGCCCTGTTCCTTTGAGAACACGTTCGCATAGAGACATTCGTATCTGACACTGTTTATATGCCTCGCTGCCAGACTGTTGCTCCGCCCTTTCTTTTAAAGACACCACGCGCTGCTAGCAGACATTTTACTGTTCTGCAATCTTGCACGAAAGACGCACGTTCTCTGCATAATACAGTCCAATGCTGTTCATTGGAATGTCTGTGTATACGCCGTAAAATATATAATGTATAGATTTCAATACTTCTTTGACATTTTTTTCTCTAATGAAAGAAAGCGCACAGAAAACGAAAGCACCAGTTGCATCCCTTACCACTATTATAATTCGCAGACTGACGCTGAATGTATTCTGCTGAAGAATCTTGTAGTTTTACGTCTAGTCTCTTCAAATTAAGTGATCACGTACACAAACGTATTTTGCCAACATTTTCATAGGCTACCTCATATTTTTTCTTTTGCGTTTCTTTTTTCCGAATCGTACGAAGTAAACTGCACCATCACCGAGTTCCTGTGCCACCATCGTCTGTCATTGTGACAGAATGTCAGATGTATCTGCAACGATGAAAAGTTGTAAATTGCTCTGAGATTTGCATGACCTTATTCCTGAACTTTTTGTTCAGAGACTGAACGTTCAATGGTATCTGTATCGGTTATTTACAAACAATCGCCGGAATTACCAATACTTTAATTACCGTGCAATTAAATTACCATTATAATCAGGAATTAGGTTATATTAATTGACAGTTACAAGTCGACAAATGCACCCGGCTTCTCTCAGTTTTATTTTATATGCAAACAGATTGAACTGTACATGTTTGCATTATTATGTACGACCAGAAATTTAGACCTGTAGCCTTTTCGTGCACGTTTCTGCACGTGAAGACGTAGCACTTCTAAAGACACTACCAGTGAACATCAGATGTACTTTCATAATGTGATGTAGCAGGTTATATTCTTATATGCTGGGAAAGGCGCTATATAGAAGTCAATCTAATATGTTTCTTATTAAATGGGGGCAGCGGAAGGTGTTAGGATGAGCGTATTGTGTGCTTTACGGAGACTAAACAGGCAGCCGCCCTAGCGTACGCCTGCAGATCGAGACCAAACCGCGGTGGGAACAGCATATCAAGTGCTAAATAAGCTAAAGCCAGAGGTATGCAGGGTGGACAAAATGTCTTTGTGCTGGATTTTTGGAGAACCCCCCGGACCTGGGTTCTAATGATCTTTCCTTTAGAAATATTATGATGGACGATGCTGCCTCCATTTAATGTGCTTTTATAATTTCAAGCACATTTTCCTCATACCTTCTACTGTAGTAGCCGATGGTGTGTGTGTGTGCGTGCGTGCGTGCGTGTGTGTGCATGCATGTGTGTGTGTGCGTGTGGATTATGTTTATATTACATTGTAGGGACCAAATGTCCCCCACAATGTGAGAAAAACCTTCGACATTGTAGGGAACATTTTTCAAGTCCTCAGAAAGATCCATGAATGCAACCAAAAAACTAAAAATGCCAAAAGTCTTTTATTTTGTTTGGTTACTTATGATTAAGGTTAGGGCTGGGTAGGGGTTCAGGTCATCATGTTGGGATTAGAGATTTCCCCATAGAGTCCCCACAAAGATATAAGTACAAACCTGTGTGTGTGTGTGTGTGTGTGAGTGTGTGTGTGTGTGTGTGTGTGTGCGTGTGTGTGTGTGTGTGTGTGTGTGTGTGCGTGTGTGTGTATGTTTTTGTGTGCGTGTGTGTGTGTGTGTTTGTGTGCGTGTGTGTGTTCTGTGCCAGATACACCTGGCCCCTAACAGGAGCTTTGAGATTGCACTGATACTCGCTCTTACACATTCACTGTGTGCATAATCTGAAATTGGGGTGGTGGGACACGGGGGGGGGGGATTGTGTGGGTTGATCAAAGCCCAGATCGCTCCCGTGATGAAAGAAACTGAGCCGTGAACCTTCTTACTTTGCAACCTCCCCCAGCGCCCCGGTCCCCCCCCCCTCTGGAGCTGTCCTGTTGTCAGTGTACACAGGAACTGCCTAATAAAGTCAAGCGGGCGGCAAACATTGGCCAGAGAGGCAGAGGGAAGCCGGCAGGCGGACCGCACCAGCTGGGCCGGGGGGGTAGGGGTGTTGGGGGGGGGACCAGACTGTGCACATTTCACACCAAAAGGCCAGATTCACACAGCTCAGCTGGTACAATCAAAATAAAAGCCTTACCACTGATTTTTAACATTCACTTCAGCAATAATAACCACAGTCAAGCATCTCCAACATCAACATACTGTGCATGTGTTAAGAAAGACATCAGCAAACGCTCAAGAAATTCCCACGATCATTCTCCCATTTTGAGACAGTCGCCGTTGCTGGAACCCAGTCCCTACGCCTTTCACAAACTTCAGCGAGCGGTAAAGTCCTACAGTGCCACCTTCGTCATTTTCTGTCACTGTGGATGCCTGCAGTTTAGGTGAGGCCTCACAAAGGGAAGGTAAATAGAGCATCACATGATGAGACTGATTCATCAGCCAGTCATTAAAGTGATGACATGTAATCTGAAGAAAAAAAATTAGCAAAAAAATGAAAACAAAAAATGAAAGCCATAGTGGGTATACTGACTGAATGGGGTATACTGACTTAATGGGGAAAACTGGGTATCCCTGATGTGTGAAACACTGCTTTACCCATTGCTCTTTAGTTACTACAAGAAAAACATTATGAAGCAGGCCTACAGGACCCAGAGTGAGAGTCGCTGTGAGTCGGACTCTGCCCTGCTTGGGGATGACCCTGGAGCGCCGTAGTGCATCTGTTCATCGCAGGCCGGAACAATGGCCCGCAGAGCCGGGAGCTGTGGGGGTTGAGTTGGGGTGGGCTGAACTCCCACAAGGGGGGTCGAGTCACTTCCTGTCTCTGGGCCTCTGTCCCATACAGCTGCTAGTGCCATGTAATAATCCCCCCCCCCCCACCCGACCAAGCAAATCCCACAGCTCAGAGATAGATCTTTCCAGATCCAACCTCCCAGTCACATTAGTAAAAAACAAAAAGTAGAAACTTGAGAAATGTATCAGCCCTTCTTCTGGTTTGCTAGTTAAAGATGTTAAAGTATGAAAAGTTTACAATAATTTTATTTACTTTACTTAGTAATGAGCCAAGACAACTGCAAAACACAAAAGACAGTACATGCTAGCAAATGGAGAACAAAATGAATTTGAAACCATAAAATTATTAAATTATAAAGGTACATATGTGGTAATTAAGATAATAATAAGTAAATCTTTGTACCTGGTTACACAATGTTTGCTTTTAAAATTAAAATAATAATTGTTACTTTAAAACACTTTTAACTTGAGGCATACAACTATTGTAAGAAAATGTATCCAGTTCTCTTGCCCAGGTTCAAAATGAATCTAGTTGAATCAGAATTTATATCATTTTTCAATCACGTCTAATCAAGTAGCTGTTCACACTTATAACTATCTAGCTGTAACCGGTAGGGTGTGTTTGTGCTCCTGCCCTAGATTCAGACTCTGCTGAATGAATCATGTGATTGGCATATTGCGTAATCTTAGCAGGACATGTCTAATGCTGAAACCACATGGTTGCAAACATGTAGTAACAATTAACGAGTGCCTACAGGATATGGTGCATGTGCTTGTTTGTGTGTATGTGTGTATGTGTGTAGTATAGGAGTAATTAACCTGTGGATTCCACCCAGAACTCCAACACCAATCCATTGCATCATATCAGGGAAAATGCAGTCACAGAAATATACACACATCACCACTAAGGATATGTTTGTCTAGCAGCACTATGGTTTCTAGAGGCATTTCAAACCATGTTTTTGGAATTTGGGGGGGGGGGGGTGTATTTTCCACTTTCTCACCTCTCCTGCCTTTATAAATGTCTGTCTGCGGTACTGAAACCCAACTGTTCTGGTTAACTGGTCAGCAGAGCCAGCAGGGAGAGAAGCCACATCGCCACAGCTGTGGTAACAAGCATCTGGTCCACATGTCCGTCAGGCAGAAACAATCATGGTTTGTCAACCAGTTAAAGGCTGCCCCCCGTTCTCCACGAGACGAGGGATCTCCACTGATTTCTTTATTTAAAAAAAAGTAGAGGCTTTCAGGAAACTCTAATGGAGTAGGAAAAGGTTAAAGAAAACACCATCGATGTCTTCTGTTTCTGAAGTGTCCAGCTTTCAGGGAGCACTTTCAGGACGACGGGGAATCACGAGGTCCCATGTTACAGCAGGAATATCCATTATTCAAATGGCGAATCATCTATCATCATTTCACAAGAATGTTCCCATTATTACTCAATGTATCTGCCACCACTATTACTTATTAAGCAATGCTTTGTAAAGTAAATACTGCATTACCATGCATGTTAAGGAGAAAGACTTTGTTTAAAATGAATTTATGATACGATTATGTTTAATTTAATGAAACCTAACTGTGGATGGCACAGACCATAAAAGGGTTGGTCTTTAAAAGGTTCTTCTGTGGGGCACCCAGGACACTCGCTCAGAATTTGTT